GGGAAAGATGTACCTTTGATCAATTTTGACATTTTTTCTTGTGCAAGTTATATTTTGATATCTGAAAATTCAAAAATTCTAAAATATTCTTTCAAGTATTGATACTAACATATATTTTTTTGAAGATTTAAATTATTATCTTTTGTACATTTTTTTTTAACATTAGACAGAAAATTGAATTTTTATCAAAGGTAAATACCCATGTTGTATCAGCTCTGACAAGGGAGTGTTGTACCTTCAACCAATGTATGAAAGGTGTGTATAAAGATAAGATATTCAAAAGTTTAATTTTATTTATATTTTTATATTTTTAATGTTTTTTTATATCATATATAACTTTATATATAAAATATGTAAAAATATGTGGGAATCTGAACATAGCTTAGGATAGGAGCGGGGAGACAAGATATTGCGCAACCGTCTCGAAAAGAGATACCGAATCAAAATTTATTGGTTTATTGCAAACTTTACTAAAACTATAATATAATAAGAATCAATCGACAAAAGTATTCCGAAGAGTTCGAAATAGTTTGTATAAATTTAGAATGGCAGTTCGTTTGACATGCGATCGATGATGAACTGCCGAAGGTAGGGCTTTAGAGAAGGTATCAGGACACTCGTAAATGATGTTATGCAGAATATCCTGTAGGGGAAATCCACACGCACATGAGGAATCATCAGTTAAATTTTTGCGATAGAGACTAAAATTAGGGCTGTAATGATTACATCGCAGCTGGTTAAGCATAACAATCGCTTCTCTGGAAATTTTTTTGTGAAAGTACCAAGGTTTGGCGGATTTTAGAAATATGTTATCAAAGTAAGTAGGTACTTTTAATATTAGAAACACTTTCAAGGTATCGATAAAAGTTCTTATTAACGTTATGCTTAATAACGGCGAAAAGATCCGATCGTATATGAAATTTTTAAATTCGATTCGATGCCTTGGCGAATGGCTCTCTTAGCCAGAGATTGTTGACTTTTTCGTTTCTAGCTATGCCGTAATGGGAAGGGACCCAGATGAATTGAACCCGCATGCCTGCATTCTTGGCCTCTTCTAGATGTGTTCTAATAAGGGGATAAGATAATTGTTAGTGCGGTTACGGCACTTATGGAATCAGTGACAATAGTGGTAGACGTCATGTGGAGGTCGAGAGACAAGAATCGCATTGTAAATAGCGAAAGCTTCGAAAAGGTCGACATGTAGGAAGAAAGTTTGTACACGAGCTCAACCTAAAGTTGAGGGGAACAGACATAGCAGCTCCTACATAAGTGTTATTATCAGTTTTTGAACCATCGATTATAAAATACTATAGAATCGGTGTAAAAAGTTTGAACAAAGGCGGACTGATCGCATTGTTTGGGAAGCTGATCGAGAATATCAAGAGAAGCATTAGGAAGAAAATGAAGTGTAGGACAGGTGAGAGTGAAATGAGTGTCTGTAGTCCGGAAGAGTATAAGAACAGTTCAAGACGCGATGGTAGGACCACATGCAAAGAAAAATCATAGCGACCGGAAAGTGGACGCGCAGATAGTTATCCCTACAGGTACTCTAAATGAGATCGCATAGCTTGTGAAGCTTAGAGACCACTAATGCTCATTTCCAACTTTAATTAAGAAACTCCTTAGGATTGAGAGGATGAAGGGAGAAGGACTTGAGAACATTACCAAATTTAGAACGAGTCTCAAAGTATGAAATAATTTCAGTAATCGTATAGGTATAAATCTGCTTCTGCCACACATATACTGGGCACTTGGGGGAGTAGGGAAGGTGCTCTTTTCCGCAGTTGCAGCACGAAGGTGTCATCTGCTGGCGAGGACAGTCCAGGATTGGGATGTTTAGGGTGTCCACAACAAGCACATCATAAGTAGAGGAAAACTGGAAACATAGAAACAGGTTATAGAACGTGACAATAATTCTGCAAAATTTAATCATGACAATGCGCGAAGGGGGGGGGGATAAAGATCAACTCTCTATTTTTCCGTTTTCTGATATTAAGATGTTTACCGAATAGAATCTTATAGGAGTTGAATTCTTTTTTGTTTTTTTAGCTTTAATCTACAATTGTATGTCAAGATCTATAAATAATCGACGTGTACTTCACTTCAACTGAAAATTGTAAAAATGTATACAAAAAATATTATTTAGGCACCAAGACTCGTCTTGATTGAATGTGACCCTCTGCACTCATTTGTGTTCATACATCTATTTCTAGTGTTTAATACGTATTTATAAAATGTAGACAAAGAATTTAAACTGGTGCATTTTTAAAATGTTTGAAACCGGCTGATGAATAAGGATAATTTTTAGGGATGCACCAGATATCCAAAAAGTATCCAGTATCCGATATTATCCGACACTTTTACTATCCGACCGAATATCATTAATATCCGAAAATATATTCGGTTAAAATTTTATATTATTGATTTTGATTACTGATTTTTTATTATATAAATGTTTTATAAATAAGTATATGTATATTCATGCTATAATATCTTGTATCTTGTTCTAAAGTTACAATTTTTTCTCTAGTTTTTTTTTAAGACATTGTCCCAGAATTCAGTCGAGTATCCAGAAAATATCAGATATCCAACTCGAAAAATTGTCCTCCTGTATATACAATGTTACATTCTTTTCGAATATCCGATATCTGATAATTTTATGATCCAATGCATCCCTAATAATTTTTTTTGCGCAGGAAAGGAACAGATGCAGTTGACATGGTGTCCGCCAGTGAAGTCAATACCAAGTGTCCTCAGATTGTTATTCAATTTTATGAGGATAGAATAACCTGGAAAAAGACAAAAATAAAACCGTACTAGACGAGCTTCCTTGAAAAAGCCAGATTCCATATTTTTTGGGAAATTAACTTTTATTGTGATGTATGTATGCAAAGTCTTATTATAAATGTTTTGAAGCATTTGATTGATCACACATTAGAAAAATGAATTTTGTTAATTAGCTAATGAAAAAATGTTTCAACGTATTTATATAGTATCACGTTAATCGTGTGCTCTATATAAAATGTATTGTAGATATTCTCGAAGTGACTGTTTTATTATTTTACTATAAACACAATAATTGTATTTTTTTAAACATTATTCATTTAATTTCTTTCAATCTCATGATGCATTCGACTTTATACTTTAGCAGTATGTCTTTTTTTAGGTGCATGTTTTGTTTAATATTTTCTGTTTTTTTTTTAATGCAAATCTGACAATAAGCAGGAAAAAATAGAATTTCACAAAGTTCTGTTCAATTATCCTATATGTGTATTGTCGAAATTTTATTTCGGAGAAAAATATTTTCTAGTAAAAAAATTATAATATACGAAATAACTTAAAATTTAAATTGATATAATTAATATAATTTAAATTGTCGCTTTGCATATTTTAAGTGCAGAAAAGAAATAATATAACATGTACAATTGAAAAGAACAGACTTATTTCAGGATCTATGATCCACAGCCTTGTTTCATCATTTTATTGTATAGACGAAAGTCAATACAATGTGTCAATACAATTGTATTGTTTATACACACGGCCTTAGGTTTTATCAGCGTATTTTTCCTATTAATTAGTTAGTATATGTTTTTTATATATATTATACAATTTATATATACATATATATATAAATTATATGTATTATGTAATATATGTATATATATATATATAAATTGCATTGTCGGATTTCTAACAAATCGTGTCGTTTTATTTACAAAAATCCACTGGAGCACTTTATGGATGTCAACAAGAGATCAATGAGATCCTGGAGTGTCTATAAGTCCCTTGGAGTAACAGATTGTAGCTAGAAATTTATACAGAAATTAATTTTTTTATGAGAATATTATCAAAAAGAAATCTTCCTTTTAATTTACATCTCATCAGTAATAAAATTTTTTTAATTCTTCCAAAAGCAATATTGAAATTGAAATCTCTTTTGATTTTTCAATAAATGATTTCGAAATTTTGAAGTTTTAAGATTTAAAAGTTTTTTGAAAATGTTACTCATCGCAAATTATAA